TGGAAGGGTCCTGGATTCCGGGGTAGTTACTCGCGAGCATGCGCGAGCGGATCTCACGATGCTGGCCAATGTAGTTGTGAATGGAGACACCTTGGCGAAGGAGGGTTTGTTTGGCCAGAGCGGAGAGAAGATAGGGAGCGTTGGTGGGGTTGGTGGAAGTAAGGGTGAGGAGGCGTGTGCATAACCCAAAGGGCGAGAGGCGAAGGTCCTCTTTGCTGAGGCGGATTCGGATGTCGTTAGAGCAGCTGTTGAGGATGAGAGCCTTGGCGTAAGCAAAGAGCTTGTTGTGTTTGAGGAGGACGTCCGCTTGGGTGGGGGCGGGAGGATCAGCTGTGAGGAAGTGGGCACAGTCATTAAGGGAACAGAGGAGGTTGAGATTTTCGAACCATAGGTCGTAGTTGTCAAATGTGAGCGGGACTACGGACAGTCAGGCAGGATCGGTGGAGGAGTTTGGGGCCGCGGTGGATGCCGCGGTTGGGGGAGGGTTCATAGCTGGGGATTCAAGAAGGACTTGAGCGAAAAGGTCTTCAGGGAGGGTGCGAAGTTCGTCCTCGCGATCAGCAACAAGGCGAAGTTGGGCTCGGCGCTGGGCGCGGTCGGAACGGGAGGAAGGAGGATCGATGGTGGGGGAAGTATCGGCGAATCGCCGGATGGTGACGGCAAGGTGCCGGTTGAGGTGACGGCAAGGTGCCGGTTGAGGAGATCGGCGAGGCGCCGGCGTAGAGCGAGAAGAGAAAGGCGAGGGAGTTTAGCGTAAAGGGTCCATAACCTGTGATCAAGGGCGATGATGCCCACTCAGTTTACTGGAGGGGGCGACGACGGGCTGAAGTACTGTGGTGTGGTGTGTCTGAACGTGTCCAGGTGGCTATCGTACAGCAGGTATATTGCAATTATTACATTTTGTCGTTATTCACGGCGCATGCGCAGTTTTGAATGAGGGCGAGCGGGGCGTAATTGTGCAATTCCAGCGTGCGGGGGCACACTGAATGTTGTGTCCGACTACCTCCCCGCGGGCGACGACTATCCCGCGATGCCCTTTACTGGCGACTCGTTGCTCATCCGCGTCTGCGTCCGTGGCCGCATGGACTTCCAAGACGGCGACCCGGAGGCCCTGTTACGTAGTGTCATTAAGAGACTGTTCTCATTGCCGCCCGATACCGTCGTGTACCGGGCACACGACTATAGCAGATTATTGTTTTCCACCATAGCCGATTAGATAGTGCACCACCCAAGGCTCAATATCAGGAATATGATAGTTGAAATCAACGAGAGCATGCGCGATTTGAAATTGGCTTTTTCACACGTCTTTCGGTTGTGAAACTCTAGGCTAGCTTTGGCACTTCACACAGGGGCCCGAGTACTTTCTTCCAGTTCCAAATGCTTATACGCACTTCTCTGTTTCGTCTTTGCCGTGCTTACAAGACAAGCCAGTCTAGCAGGCGGCGTTTCTTCTACACGAACCACACCTCGGGGCTTGCGGATCCTCACAAGTTGTCGCACTTCAGCGCTCAAAGCTTTCTCCACATGTTTGACAAGGACCAGAACATTTTCCTCTTCGCCCAAACACTTTCGCACGCTTCCTTTTCCGTCCTTGCCTAATTCGCAGGATTGTCTTTTTTCGCCGTCTTAAAATTGGTTGGCGATCATGTTCTATGTCTTCATCGTCCATGTGATCATCCGCATCGTTGTTTGGATGCTGTTCAAGAAAGTTATAGGCGACACGAAACATTTGTCCATGAACGCCATTGCCGTCATGCATTCCATCTGCGGAGTCATATTCATCTCCTAAATCAGCATCGTCGTAGTCAAGTAAGTCATGTTCGTCGTGATCACCAGGTACTTCGTAGTGTATCCCCTCACTGTCTGCATCCATATTGTCGTCATCTGCTACGATATCATCCTCACTATTGTCGCCACCAGCTATTATTTCGTACGTGTCCCGCAATAGCTCGTCAACTTCATCTAAGACTAAGACCTCGTCATTGACTTCCACTGGGGCGCCGGAATCCAGGATCGGAGGAAACTGAAATCGAGTGCGGTTAGAGTGATCATCATCTTGTCTCGCCTGATTTTTGTTGGGGCATTTCGCCGTCCACATCGAGCGAATAACCAGCGATTTCGTCATCTCGATTTTGGACTTCGTCGTTGTCTGAGCTGTAGTCATCCAGATCATTGTGTATAAGCTGGTCATCGTCGGGAAAAGGGGCAAATCTGTGATCGTCGTGAGCATCAATGTCGTCATGGGGAAAGTGACGCACGTACTGGCGCAACGTGATCGATGGAAATGATTGCAGAGGTCTTGCCGAAATTCCTTCACTGTTTGATAACCTTGCGATTAAAGCTGTGCAGCTCTCGTCAAATGACTCACCGTATTAAGTTGCCAGTCCCGCCAGACAGCAGGGCAATCTGCAAAGCGTCTGTTCCTAGTTAGTTGACTTCATGGGGCTGCAATCACTCATTGATGAAACAGGTTTTAATTTTATCTGTGTGAGGAGGGGCTGGATACGTTTGAGCCACCGAGATTGACAGTCGCCCAAAACGAAAGTCAGTCTAATAGACGCATAACTATGCAGCCTGAGAACTTCGTAAGGGAGGACGACGTGAATGGGAAGAAAGACATTGCCGTCCAGTGTAAAACGTCCGCGGTGAAGTGACTTTCGGGTATGCGCGTAGTTTGATGTGGATGATGTTCAAACTGGGTCCAGTTTTGCTTTCTGCAAGCCCATTTCCAATCGATTTAGCAAACAGACCCGCAGGAGGCTGGTGCCGATGCGTCGCGGGCGATATCGGACGCGGCGGCGATCCTGCAAGAAGCCGGAAAGGTCGGGGAGGAGTTGTACATGCCAAACAACAGGACGTGTGGAAGGAGATGGTACGGCAGACGTCAATCCCACGTGAGAGCGGTGCGCGCGAGTTGGAGCTGGACGCGTTCGAGATAGAGCGACAGCTGGGTACGGCTGGGAACGGCAGGAGAGTTCGCGGAGGTGGCCGTAGCGGCGGTAAAGAGGTGCGCAGAACGGAGCTCGATGCTGGGAAACTCCCAGACCTCCGTCGAAATGCGCGTTTCCAATCCGTTGACCTTCGTTTCGTCCTTTCCCTCCCGCGCCCGTCCATGCTGCCCTCCAACCGCCCTCTCACGATGATGGGTGCGTCGACTGATTGAAGCTGACGGTGCGTGGACTCATCATCCTGATCTGATCATTTGTGCCACGGTACCTTTTCCTTTGTCCCATAGAAAACGTCCTTACATCTCCGGGGACGATACGGGGAGCGAGACCAGACTGCAGAGAGCAGTTCGATTAGAAAAAAAATCAATCACTCGAGCAAACCTCAACTTCTCATGCGATGGTAACTAATCTGGAACAAATCTTCAGTTTTTAATTAAATAATCAAGTTCTTCGTCTTCTCTCCTGCCAGCACTGCAATCTGTCCTGGAGTCGCTAGCCCGTCTGTTCGCGACACGCACCGGCACCACCTTTGGTATCTACAGCCAAGTGCGTCTCTCCCAGCGCCTGCAATCAGCTTCGTCATCCCCTGTGCCGCACACATGACCTCCTTGTCCAAGAACAACGCACACCCTACCCATGTTGCGGAGACTACTGGAGAGCGGCCAGTCAGCATCTGAAAGTCGATCTGGTAAGCAGCAAGGGGAGGGTGCATCGCAGGACAGTCCTCTGCCGAAGACGCACGGGGGTGGACGATCTGGTTCATCTTCACCCGGGTCGCCGAAGAAGAAGAAAGCCAAGCCTGAAATTTGAGGTCCTCTTGTTTTTTTTCCGACTTGTCGATGAGTGAGTCCGCAGGCGTCCGTTTGATATGAGCGTAGACATCAAGATGCATGTCAGAGCATGAATAGGAGCATGCCACCGTTCGCGTTGGAAACAGAAGGCCTTTATCGCGTCGCAAATATGTCTTCTGCACACGGCGAAGGAGAGTTGCCTCCGGTGCGCAGAGGCATACTACTTCTCACAACTTTCTCACAACTATGGCTTTTCATTTACTATCTTCAATTGCTTGCATGATTTGGCATAATCAAGAACACTATCTAGTTGTCCGCTATAATATCTGTCACGGCTAACCCGCACAGACTGCAAATCTGACTTCCCTTCCAAAGAGCATATCTTTTCTTACCTTTCTGTATGCTTTCGCTCTACTTGTTTCTTTCTGGACGGGCTGTTGGTGCCCGAACCATTGGGCGAACCATTGTGGTGGCTTTGGGTTGGACTTCTATCGCGCTTTTTCAAGCTCTTGTTCTCTTTCCTCAATTTATCTATCTCTGCTTCTCTGTTCTGCAGCTCGTATTCAATCACCTTAGTCCCACTCGGAGGATTGAGCAACTCTTTCACCGTTATCTTGTCTTCACGGCGGAAGATACGGCATATGACGGACTCATTTCCCCGATAGATCTTTCTGTGGTACATCAGCGAACTGCCACTGGCGCGAGTGGTTATAGTAGGATCGCCAGACGCTTGTCGGTCTCCGTCCTTGTCGCTTTGGCCATGAAGTTTACCCACAATGACGCAAGCATCTTTTCCACCAACTCCACCACGGTCGACAATAACGTATTCTTCGATGTTGGCTCGGCGGTACGCTCTCCACTTATCGTCGAGGTCGATATTGCGAGTGGAGGGACTCGTGACCTCAAACACGAGTACGGGGGGATCAACGTTTTTTCCAAACCTGATTGTCTTTGATTGCTCGCCTGCTGTGGACTCCATAGCTCTATCGTCACGATATTTGCCGATGGAGACGTCCGGCTCGCGTACCGTGTCCGATTTGCCAGAGGAACTAGACCCACCTGGGGAGGACGTAGGTGAGCCGGAGTCATCGAACACCTCACCGAACTGAGCCTCCAGAGCCCTCCTGCGACTCGGTATGTACACTTTTCCGCGTCCATAAATGGTTATGTACGCTTTCTTAGTGGCGTGAGCAACTTGAGCTTTGCTGATAATGTAGGACACTATGCGTTCGTGCAAGTTATCGCCCATCCTTGGTGAGAAGACAAGCAGGCCGTCGACGAGGTCGTATTTCTCACGGTCACCTTGCGGAAGTTCGGCGTACCGCGTAAACGTGCAGGGGGTAAGATGAAGGGCCCTGGGTTCTTCGTCGATGTGGACCGAATGACCTGGTCGATTTGCCATTTGTGCAGGACCTGGAAAATCTGCAACAAGTTCGTCGACGATTGCAGACGGGGCGCTATTGTTGTCCTTCGTTATGGTTGAGGCCATGTCCATGCAGTGCCGTCGTTCCGTGCGGTCGACACGGGCTTTAGGGGTTATATAGAATGGTTCTTGAAAGCTGGAAGACGCCAGGTAACTTTGGATGATCACCAGGACGACTGAAATAGCCAGTTTATCCCGAAAAACTGGAGATCTAAAATAATAAAGGAGGGAGGAATGAAGGGTCCACTGCAAACGTTATGTTGGAAAACACGTGTTTTGGCCGCGAGTTTTGCTCGGATTTTCAACCGCGTTAAGGGTCCACTGCAAACGTTATGTTGGAAAACACGTGTTTTGGCCGCGAGTTTTGCTCGGCCTCTGCATTGTCACCGTACACAGTGTACAGTGACTTGAGATGCCCAACCGCACCATGAAAGACAGTCTCGTTCTGTCTCAAATGTGTCCGCTCCCGCTCCCGCGAACCTATTCTTTAACAGACCCCTCACACCCGCGCCCCGCAGCTCCCTCCGAACCTCTCCCCTCCACCCGCCCGCATCCATCCGCATGATTCCATCCACCCGCTTCATCCTCAGGAAACAAGCCGGCCATTGCTCCGAGATGGACGCTTCGAAAACATGATCCCACCGAATCCCAACCTGGCGCTTGTACTCACCATCTTGGCAACCCTCGTGCTTACCTCCACCACCCAACCCCCCCCCCGCCCGGCACTGACAAACCAAGCCTTTCGCCAGCTCCTCAAACAAAAGCCTCCTTCCAACCAAGTCCGACCCCCTCCGCCACGTCTTCCCCGTCACCTATATTTCATCCCCTCATCTTCATCCCCGGTTTCCAAGGCACCCTCCTCTCCCAAGGCTCGCGTCCTCTCTTCCTCGCCCCCATTACACCCTCTACCTACACTCAGCTGTACACGATCCTACGCACTATCCCCTTCCTCTCCCCTCTCTATGTAGAATATCGGTCCTCCACATGCGCTCCTTCCCCACATTCGCATATCGGCCACTGCCACCCGCTCCCTGTGCGCGGCCTGGTGCATGCACTTTTCACGTATCTACGAGCGAACGGTATGGCTTTTGTCAGCGCACTTGGCTATGACTGGCGCCACGACACATCCACCATACTGTCGGAAGCTTCCTTCACAGATCGGCTAGCGCGGAAAGCGGAAGAGGCAGGCCGGCCTGTTGTCATCGCGGCGCACGGGTATGGCTGCCCCCTAGCGGCCGCGTTTATGAATGCCCGCGATGAGTCCTGGAAGAAGAGGCACGTGTTGCATTTTTTGTGCGTCGGGGCCCCGTTGCTTACTTCTACTGCTGCTAGACAGGCGATCGCCAAGGGCGACGGGATGCTGATGACCGGCATGGCGCACCGGTATGTAGATGCAGCGGCAAGCGTCAGAGAAAAGGGAGGCTGGAATTTCGCGCAATGGAGTTTGAGCTCGGGTTAAGGCGGGGCAGGAAGAGAGACCATTTGCCGGTGGTTCTGGGCCTGTGGGATAGGAAGGAGGGCGGCACAGTACCCCGGCAGGAGAGAGTCAACTCGCGGAGAGGTTCACGGCGCTGAGGGAGATGAGCGCGGGCGTGACGGCAGAAAGGCCTGGGGTTACGGTTACGTGCGTGGTGGGGGATAGAGTGGGGGATGGGGAGGGGGATGGGGTGGTGGAGAGGAAGAGTTCAGAGGCGTGTGGAGACTGGGAAGGGGCCCGTGTAGAGAGGGTAGGTGCAGGGCATTTTAATCTTACGAGGATGGTGGGACAGATGGTGTTGAGAATCTTGAAGGCAATCGGGTCGAATGAAATCTCCTAATGTCGGAGATTGAGGAGAAGGAGATCAGCAGTTCTGCAGTCATGAGGAAGGTTGTTGTCAAGACCGGTCTTGTAGATTATTGGTGTGGCGAATGAGAGGTCCGCGTGGACTTCCTTTGCGACTGGCCTGGATGCAGAGACGAAGGAGTGACGCGTGTTTTGGCGGCGGGTTGGTCGCAGATTCAGGGTGAATCAGTTGGATGGCTCTGCGGTCTAGGCTTGCAGCCGGGACCACAGCTTTCTTGTCAGGATATGATCCGCTCTTGCAATCCATCTCATGTCCGCGTAAGCGTTGGGCTGTCGTCATCAATTTGTCGTTCTTTCATCTCATAAGCCCACCTCCCAGCACAGGCTCAAATCATCGATAGGAGTTTTCTTTGTGTAGATCAAATGCAACTACATTGCAGAAAATTCGAGGTCGCTCGAACAGACTAACTGAAACTGCGATGTACAAGAAAGTGCCCCTAAGAGCATCCCCACCGGCATGAGCAAAGAGTTAAAAGGTAAAATTTTAGCTTTTACACCCTGGTGAATCCGCTCCACCGGGGAGTCTAAAGCTAAAATTATTTGGCCCGGGGATATTTCCAGGGTGCAAATCGGTCGGTTTCACACCTCGAAAATAGCCCAGAGCCAAAAAGTCCATGACACAAGTGCGAAGCAGTTATTGGTTTCTGGT